TGGATTCTGGCCCACCCATTCGTGCAGGCGGTAGTGCTCCGCCAGCAGGTGTAGAGCACGCCGCTTCTCTGTCCAGTGGTCTGCTGTCTGCTGACTTCTGACCTGCACTGGACTTCAGCCACTCGCGTCAAAAAAGGAAGGGTCGAGCGTTTGCCTCTGCCTTGCTTTGTACGAGTAGGAACGGACTCGTCTTGGCAGTAAACTTTCAGGGTTCTGGCAAAAGACACCACTCCAATCAGGCGTTGGTATAAGGCTCTGGAATCTTCTCCATCTCGGGGCTCAATCGGCAGGATGGAACATCCTCCTCCCACCCCCGGCGTAAAGAGGCCTTGTGGACTGAGGCCAATGCCCAGCTTCTGCAGGTATTCTCTTGCTTTCTGGACAGTAACCTCCGCAGGCTGATCGTCAGGCCACCTTCCCATCATCAGTGCAAGCGTTCGCCCCCCTTCATCTATATAAGCAGGGTCAGATTTCCATACTGTCGCCGTCCCCCTCTGCTCCAGGGATTCCAATCTCGCGATCACCTTTTTCATCTCCTTGGCATAGCCCTGCTGGCACTTTTCCTGGTTTTCCACAATCCCTGTGATTTTCTGGATGTCCGCTCCTTGGGCTTTCTGTCTCTCGTCCAAGGTCTTTACCAGCTTCAGCGTATGGTCTAGCTTCTGCGACACCCGTGTCTCCACCGTCTGCATCTGCCCTTGAACGTTCTGCAGTCCTTGCAACACAGGAGCCAAAGCTAGATGCAGGTCAGCCAGTGTCAGGCCCCCTCCGCGCTCCGCCTCTGCAGCCTCCTTGGCAGGACTAGGCCCTTCAGCTCGGTTGTCAGAGCTCATCGCCGCCTGGTTGTCGATATCCGCATCAACTTCGACAGGGGCATCATTGCCCGGCAGCTTGCCCGGCGAACTCATGGCTGCTTGCGCTCTTGCACCGTGCAGTCAAAGCAGGCTAGCCCCCCTCTGAAAGCTACCCCCGTGCAAGATGGAAAGCCTGGAAGTCAGCCCGTCTACCCCAGATGGAAGCTCTCAGGGAATCTGCTGCGCATTCGGGAAAATCCCTGACAGGTAGTGTGTGTGTGGGTTTTGGTTAAAAGGGAAGTGTCAGCCGAGAAGTAAATCCTATAACAAAAGAATGGCTGGCTAGTCTGGAAGGCACATCTAGCACGCACCTTGCGCATGGTTCCCAAATCTCCAGAACTAGCTGTTTGAGTGCTGCTAGCTGCTAGAGCCTTGAGCCACAATGGCTTTGAGCCAAAATGGCTCGAATTCTCTCCTCCCTTTCCCCGGGCAGCCTTGTGCAAGTAACAAACGCATAGTATTCGTCCATGTGATCGCGATCACTTCCCAAATGATCCCATTGATACTTGCATGGCTTCTCGCTCTTGAGGCCCAAAGCCCGAAGCAGGTGCAGGTGGATAGCACCATTGTCAGAGGAGTGGTAGCCTGCTGTTGGCATCACACCAGCGAATGTTCAGAAGCTGCAACAACTCCATGCTGCGCACATGGTCTAGGAAACAGATGGAAGCAAATGGAGGCAGCTCTTTCGGCAAGGCACCGCTTCGCGGGAGCTCCTCTTCGAAGCCAGCCCAATCGTCAAGAAAGCGGATACCGAAATCAGAGTTTCTCACAGCGTAGTTGCCTGCCTGCCAGGCCCATAACAACAAGTCTGGTGCACGACCACGCACCACTGAGACAATAAGCTGCTGGCCATGATTTCGTTGTTCATCCACCGTTCATATAGTACAACATCTGTTGCAGCCACCTCCTGCAGCCAATGATCCAGGCCTGCGAATATTGTGAGACGTTGTGGTGGCAAGCTCAAGAAACTTTCCTTTCCAGCCTCGATCAAGCCATACCACAGGGTTATCACCGTCGAAAACAAACCTTGCCAAGCCATCCAAGAGCTGAGCGAAAGCACGAGAGAACCCCAGCAGATCCTCTTTCCCAGCAACAAAATGTAATCACTCGTCTTCATCTCGAGGAATCGCGCTACGGAGCAATGTTTTCTGAAGAAGAAATCCCGAAATCTGCCACAGGCTGGGTAGTCCTGAGCAACTGCCCACAAACACTCTTTAACTTGCACTTCTGCCGGCAAAGAACCTCACTATGCGACACTGAAAGCTAAGGATCGGATGGGTCAATGACGGCATATTCATAGCCTGAAGCGTGCAAAGGTTGAGGTGGCATCTATAATCAAAACATATCAAAACTTTTTTGGCTCAGATCACCCCAAAGCAGCTGCAGCACACATAGTTTTGGAAGCACAGCGTTAGCCATGTCTCTACTGCAACATTGGCAGGCCAAGAGCTTACGCTGATCAAGCGCTTCACAACCCGTTCCTCAACCACCACAAACTCGCAGTTTCACTGCAAACTACAGCAGCAATGCTCTGATGAAGGTTGCCCTTCCAAATCTACGTTCCAAGAAGGATGGGCAAGGACCTCCTCAGCAGAAGATATGCCAACTTCGGCAGAAGCTTTGCACGCTTTGGTGCTGCAAACGGCCTGATTTGCCTGGTCGCTGGGGGAATGCTTGTTGCATGCGGGCCCATGGCCTTGCTGAAACTTCTGCCCTTGCATGTTACTCCCTGGGTGTAACTCCTCTGCAGTGAACTGCAGGGGGGCGCTGGTCTCTGGATTCTTTGACACTGACTCTTCAAGCGCCCGCCGCCTTTGTGCCAGTTTGGCTTGAAGCTCGTTCATGATTTCGCCATTCCGGTGGCTGCTTTCCGCCTGCGCTCGCAACAAATCCTTTCGCTCTGCTGCTTGCGCCCGCCGCAGCTGGATTTGCTCGCGCTCTTCCAACGTAAGCGGGCTCGTTTGCAGCGCAGCTACACGCTTGATGTCCTCGATTTGCTGGCAGCCACTGATCATTCGAGGATGTATAACTTCACCTGCATCCCAGTCCCCGGCAGCTTGTATGAAAGCCATCCCGAAAGAAGGAGTCTCTGCTTTGAGCCAAAACGCGCAGCCGCTTGTTTGAATTTTGCTGCAGGAGACCACCAAAATACAGGGTGGAGAAGACCTGAGCTTCGAGCCATGTTGACTTGCATAGCATCTTTGGCTCGCAATCGATATGGCAAATCGCTTCTGATATTTCTTGTCCTTTCTCGCCGGGATGCACTTGTGCAAAGACGTGGCCGGCTCAACATAACAACATTGCGGAATTCATCTTGGAACCGCTCCGCGACAGAAGCCAAGCCTGTCGAATTTTCGTCATGACAGGACATGTGAAATGTTGAAGCATCCGCCTATTTCTGCGTACTGTCCAGGTGGAGGTGCCGAGCCTGTGAATAGAGGCTCCTCATCAGCGTTTTCGCACATCAACGACTTGTTGAAACAAAGTGAGCAGAGAATGCTGGGAATCCTGTGCCAGCTGAGGTGAGACGGCTGGCTTGCCGCTGACTTCCTGCCAGTGCATGAACAGAGCTGGGCAGCTTTTACGCTTGCTTGTGCTGCTCTCAGGCTGTCGGCGTGAAAATTAGACCCCTGTTCTTTCAGAAGGCCTGTTGCGCAAGCAGGTAGATGTGCAAATTCTGCCGCTATGACTGCACTCAAACCGCTTGCAAGCTGCCTGACACATATGCCAGATTCTGTTTCGAACAAGGCGAGAGAAGAAGTATAGTATGAAACGAGGATCATCCGGGCATCCGCTGAGAAGCAGGCTGCAGTGATGTGATGCTTGCCACCCTTGCAGATGCTAACGGTATCGCCGCTGTTTGCATGAAGCACCCTCACGTCACAAGTATCTAAGGCAAACAAAATGTTGGTGCCATCTCCGGAGAACCTTACTGGCTGAGGAGCGATGTAGTGGCCAAGGTTGGCCACCACCAAGGAAGACACGACACGATGGTTCTTCCAGTTGTGCAATTTGGCTGTGCAGTCATTGAAAACCAGCACCATATGCGAGTCGTCTGGTGAGACGACAGCGTCACTGACCGCGTGGTTCTCGTGCAAATGCAAGATGTCAAGTCCAGAAGCGGTGTCAAACAATCGCGCAGTGCCATCCCGCAACACTGCAAGGATTGCTTGACCATGCCACATAAAATGCGTACGATGGCACCATTTGCCAGCCTGGCTCATGTGCACTCGCTGCCCGGATGTCCCGAGAAGTGATGCAAAACCGCGCTCAGTCACACACAACAAGCTAGATCCATCTGGTGAGAACATCACCCAGCAAACGTCTGAGTCGAAATCAGAATAAGCCAACAAACACCTTCCTGATCGCGGGTCGAAAGACTTAACTGTGCGATCACCTGCAGGCATCACGATGCGCACCCCGTCCGGCGAGATTGTTGCGTTCTGTCTTTGGCGAGGGGACCCCTGGATGTTGCAGAGGTAATTTCCACCGTCAAATACATGAACAAGACCATCAGCGCAGGCTGCCAGCCAGAGACCACATGTTGTTGCAGAAATGCCCACCAGCTTGTGGAAACCGTCCTTCGTGAAACATCTGGTTCCACCTGAATCAAATATAGAAACGGTTCCATCAAGCGAGGCTGTCAGTACATGCGGGTCTGCTCTCCGAACAACATGCAGCAGCAGCTCTTCGCCCTCAAGCTCTGCCCCTCCAGCCAGTGTGTCAGAGTCGCGAAGGACCTTTCGTTCCAGGACCTTGCTTAGCCAGCGGGTAAACATGTTTAAACTGTTTCACCCTGCTTCCTACAATTTTTCGACTGCTTGCACAGATAAAGCCTCCCAGCTACATCCATGTTCATATTGCTTCTTTTCACCGTTTTATGACATGTAGCGGCACCACCCTGACCCGCCGATTGTTCAGCCTAGTAACATTACAACGACGACAAAGCCGCGCCACAAGCTCGAGAGGGTTATAAAACCTAAGTAGAAGTTGACTTGAACATAATACACGGAGCTACCAACCTTGCACGAGTTCTAGTGAAATAATCACGTGCGAAATGGCCCACTAATAATTAATAAGACGTTGTGAAACCCAGTTTGCTGTCAGAGCACGAACCGGACAAGTGTTAGCCGTCCCTGCCCCTCCCATGCTGAAAGTCTTGTCACACGCTCACACTAGGTGACCTAGTGGCCAGAGGGCGGCAATTCCAGGCTTGTTTTTCTTTTTGGGGAAGCTTCTGACTCCTCATATTCATCCTTAAACTTCTACTGCGTGGACCATTCCCCAGCCGACTTCACATAGACTAATAAAAAGTATATGACATGAACGAAGACCCGATCTCCACGAGCAGGGAAACACCAACGGCAAAGGCAAGCCTGGTCCTACAATCCTGCACAACCCACGCGAACCAAACCCTCACAAGGAATACCCGAAACCACCCCCCCAAGTATGAAGTCTTTGTTACGAATCCTAGGGCTTCCAAGACGGGGGTCTGCGGCATTCTTCCTACGTTGTGTTTCCCAGAGTCTACTGGCGCTCCTAAGTTGGGCACTGAGCGGCCAAGTCAAACTGAGAAGTTGCCCTGGCACTTTCGCAAGAACTCTTCAAGTTGACAAGGACTGCGGACCGAATCTCGGCGACTGTCAGATCTTGCGACCATTTGAGGCAAGTCAGGGTGTTGCCATTGATGGACAGCACGCGTATCATTTACCATCAGCGCATGACTCTGTCTTGTCTATGGCCTGGAGCAAAAGAAGAACATGAGCAAATAGACATAGGGATATTCCAGTTAACGCCCATACAACTAGCCCATTGAAGGTAGGGATGCACCCAAAGCTTATGCTTGTGCTCTTTTTATCTTCCTTACTGAAGCATAAGTGCATTCTTCCGTGATACCTAGAGAAATGACTTCACTCAACAGCGGTGGTGTCCACTGCACTGTTCATTTCCTATACACGCGCCCTTGAGCCTGTACATGGCTATTTGCCCAAGTACATCAGATCTTGCAAGGGTATACACCATCCCTTGCCAACCTGGCTGTGAAACCCCACCAAACCCAGCACAGTCCTTGCCCTGCTAGATGACCCCAGCCCGTTGCAGCAGAGGGGACATGACACCCAAGTCTTGCGGTCTTACGACGGATTCTGGATTTTTGCTCTGCTCTATCCCCCGGACGCGGCTTGTAGCCAAGCCTGTCAGATCGGCTGGACTAGCCAAAGGCCGCTGAAACACACTGTGTCAAGGGGACTGGTGTCCAGTAATCCAATGTCATGTACTGCAACCCCGCCTATTGTAGCGTCTGGCGTTGGTTGCATCTCGACAATGAAATACTGCTAGTAGTCCCCACCATTCAATGGCATGGTCCTGCTGACAACACCTGAAGCCAGCCCCTATAACTGGTCCCAGAATCAATTTGGGATTTTCTTGTTTTTGGGAGACGTTTTTTTTTTGACGTTTGGCGGCCCTTGCATATCAGGACGCTCCAGGCGAGAGCACAAGCGAGGACGCTCCACAGGAGAGCTCGAATAATACCAAAATAGATACCATCCAGAGAAATAGGAATAGCAATACTAAAAATATTCGTCGTAGAACGTGGGTTTTTTGGATTAATGAGGGTCTAGGGTTGCTGGAGTTATGGTTTTGGATTTTTGGAGTTAGTATTTAGGGTTGCTAGTGTTTTTTTAGGGGTGGGGACCATGTGGGAATTTACATGTTGTGCAGACTTTCAAGATTTCCGAATGCATTCATGTGTTTGCAGTTTTTCAAGAGTTCCATGGGCTTTCCTTTGCTGTGTGTGCAGCACAGGCGCTTTTTTTTTGCAATATCTATAGCCTGTCAAGACGTGCAAGCGCTGCAATTTGCAATAAATGGCTGCAAGTGTTGTAATTCACAATTTTCGTAGCCTTTCAAGAGCCTCAAATTCTGTAAGCTGCACTCTTCATAGCCGTCAAGAACTGCCAAAGCTATAGTTCTTCGTAGATGTAGCCTCTCAAAAGCTCCAAATGCTGCAGGTTACAACATTCGCAAACTTTCAAGAGCCGCAAATGCTGTAGTAGCCTTTCAAAGGCTCGAAATGCTGTAATTTACCGTATTCTTGTGGAAGGTCAAAGGACCCTTGGACAGAGGACCGCCGGAGGACCAGGGGACCGGAGGATCTGAGGACCACAGAACCGAAAACAAAATACATTAAACAGTCCTCCCTCACAAATCATGTCAAAATCCTAGAGCCTATCGCCAAACAGCACACACAAGGCGACAAGATCCGCCTTCTTCGCGGTAGCTTCGGCTGCTGCCAGTTGGACCTAGAACAAAAAGGAATTGAGGATGAATTTCACAAGAAATGTTCGATCTTCTGGTTTTCCGCCTCTACTTCTGCAAGCTTTGCTCTGGCCAGCTCCACCTCTTTCCGGGCAGCCGCTGAATTGCTTCGCTCCCGCCTCAAGAAGCCGTTGCTTAATCACCCTTAGCTGCAATGTTTTCAGCACAGCTACGTTGACCCCAATTGAGCTGCGAGCGCAATCTCTTTCCGAAGCCGTTGCTCACGTAGTTCGGAATCTCTGCAGCCCTGCCTTGTCAGCTGCTTAGGAATGGGCCTCTGAATCCAATACGTCGAATCGGATTCCGTTTTGGTTGCGGATGAAGTGCATTCTGCGAACTGCGTCCAAAACAGAACGGTGTCAACATGGCCCCCAAGCTCGATGGTGTAAACCTCATTCAAGGTTGTCATGAACAGGAGGCCCCATTCATTTGCATATGCAGAAAGTCCCGCGGCCGCTGAACGTCTCTACGTCCTTTGTATGTGAGAGTTATGGAGAAAAAAAACGTGAACAACGACGAAGCATAAATTCATTGAACCCTGTCTTGGGGCTTGCTTTGGCATGTGGCCATTTGGAGGCCCATCACTTCGCGGCAACTAAGTTCACATTTGTTGGTACACATGCTTTTCAAGGCCATACACGTCCTCTCCAGATTGGCTGCGTTCTGGCCAACTACAGTTTGCAATTTTGCTGCCAATGTTTCCTCTGGACAGCAGCCCGCAGTAAGCTCCAGACATAATCTGCCGAGCCCGGCACTTGTGAGCGCAGTGAGACCTTCACTCCTGCCTATTTCCAGAATCCGTACCCCATCAAAATCAGACGTATACTTCAGGAATGTTTTCAGGCCAAACAGCACCCAAAAACTGGAACCTTTGTAGTGAAACCGCATTTCTTGTAGATGTCCAGGCCCCAAGCCTTGATAGGGGGGGCCACCGGACCCCCGTCTTCCCGGACAATGTGAGCTTTCTGGCCATATCCAGGGACCAAGAATTCAAGATGACCGGCGACAAAGACAAGAAGAAGAGGAATCTGTATGGAGTTTCCAAGACCAAAGAGCAAGGAGATCAGGCCACTCCTCATGCAAGCCAGCTGTGGCCATCTAGTTAGCAGAGATGAGTCAAGACTTGAGCAACTCTATCTCGGAGTATCCTATAAACGATGGAAGACCAGCATTTGCCCTTGTTGCAGGTTTATTAAGGCTCTAAGGCTGTTACACCATGGGTCCGCGCCAGAGCGTGCAATCTCTTCTCGAGAAAATTTGTTTCCTTCCCGCAGCCCGATCTGGCATGCTCGGCAACTGCTCGTCAAGTCCACGAAGTCAGCCATGTCTTTGAAAAAGTGCTGGTTTGGATTTTGCTCAAATTGCAGAGGGTCGAAAAAAACACCAGGCTGCAGCTGATGATCTGCCAATGATCTCAGGTTCAAAGTGACGTCCTCTGTGGCATTTAGGACATCATGGTGTGGCATGCCACGGGGTTGCATTGTGCAGCACTTGCTGAATCGCGCATCACGCCAAAGTTCTTTTGCTGCATGTGCAGAACTCAACAACATGATGTGAAGCTTGAGGGTACTGGGCTGCCTTCTTCTACCTGAAGACTTTTTCCACCGGTTTGCAGTCCGGCTGTCACGTGCTTGGCTGGCGGATGTTCACGGCTTATTGACATGAGGGCTTGGCCCGAGGAACCTGTGGTCAAAGCTCATAGCTACGTGCTACAGTAAGTGCATGCAGTAGCATGTGCAGTTCACGCTTGAGCCTGTAGAATACTGTAGAACTGTAGAACTGCTTTTTGCAAGGCATTCATTTTTGCTCTACATTCGTATCTGGCCCAGCTCTTGCAAAGGAAGCCAAGGCAGCGCAGCAAACTGCATTCCGGTCCCGCCCAGCCCCACGAAGTTCACGGACCGGGACTCACTCAATCAATCAGTTCCTCATCCCTTGCATACCAAACGACTCCTTCGTCAATTTGGGCCACGTAAGCCTTGTTGCTGGTTGGTTCAGCTGGTTAGGGTCCGGACAATGACAACAGCTGCAACGTCTCAAGCCCTCTGCCAAACACATTTCTACACATTTCTGAAGCTGCTTGATCAAGAGCAAAGTAATTCTTTCAGTGATGCAGCCTTTAACAATTGAGGCACGGACTCTAATAGCGACGACCACAACAATCCACCGGCAAATAGGCTGAGCACCTGCAAGAGACCGCCACCGAAGCCTGTGACAACCTACACACGACCTGCTGAGAGCAGCACTGACAGCAGGCAAAGGCTTTGCTTTATGAAGCCGCGGCAGCCCCGTGCCATGCTGCGAAGCAGCCATGGGACTTCATACGGCCGAAATGACCATTGCTACTTTGGCATTCGCTCACGTTCCAGGACAAGCTCTGCATGCAAATATACAAATCTTGTGCTGGAGTAAGACCTACCCTCTGGAAATTGGACTCACGCTGTACTTCCTTGCAGTATGGCAGCTCACAAGTCTGCAGGCACAGCTGCGACCGAAATTTGCACGTGAAACCCAACAAGACCCTACAAGAACCAGCTGTGGAGCACACGTGTTGGCCATGCTGCGCAGAGGCTCCAGGGTCGTCTGGCAAGTTTTGCATTTTGACGGTACGGGAACTGCACGACAGGAGCTCCCAAATAGACAGGTGCCTCCATGAGCTGCTCGACGATGGTCATGTACAACCGTTCGAACTGCGTGTAGCTCTTGTCAAAGGCGCTAATCTCAGCAGAGACTTTGGCTGCAGTTTACGTGAGCTTTGGTAGGCTCTGCATGCAAGCGTTCAATTGAAGCGCGCTACATCACTTGTTTCCTGGTCTGGCGTCTGATGTTGCAGGTATATTGCCATCAGGAAAGCTGTCTGCTCCACCCGCGGCAGGTCTCTGCCATGAGTCGTAGGAGTTGCACTGGTTGTACGCCAGCAAGCTTGGGGCCATCAGCAAGGCCCACCGCTTTATATCACATTATCAACATCCAACCGTGGCCGTGATGCGGGGAGGACGCTTTTGGCGCCAAACAAGGGCATCCTGGCCCATTTGATGGCGTGCCTTTGCCTCACAAAGCCCCGTCATCAGGCCTCTTTTCAGATAAGCTTTCAAGCTGCACGAATCTGGAAGCCAATTCTGGCTTAGGCTTAGTGCTCTACGGCTATATACAAATTTGAAAGGTGCACGCATTGAATGGTCGGCCAGCAGGAGGACTGTTACAGCAGCCGCTGTAGACAAAAAAGTGAGGCCTTTGCTCTTTTACCAACCATTCAACGAACACAGTCTCTGCTTAGTCCTGACAGCTGAGGCGTTTCTTTTCCTCTCTTCCTCTACTGTTGCAGGGGTCTTATGCGGACATTTCAACATCTTGCGTTCAGATCTCTGCTGTCAGAAGCTATCAGAAAGCATGGCTTCAGGCACCGGCATCATACAGGTCACATTCTAGGTCGCTCCATCTGAGAGCGACCTGATGAAGGATGGGCGAAGAAGTACAAGCCTTTCTTTGATCGAGATTCTCGAACCTTGGCCAGCAAATGCATAGGCAGAGATGGCAGAGGCCGCCCGCTGCAAGAAGCTGCAAATCTTCCTGAAGGCGAGTGGCTTCCCAGCCGGGTGGCAGGCCTGCCTGCAGCTCCTTTAGCTTTGGATCTGTTATTGCAGGGCCTGACAAGCATGCAGCACAACAGGGGCACATTTGCATGACGTTGCCGATCAGTGATTCGTGCTCTCAGGTCGCACCAGCGAAAGCTTATCATTACTATGACGATATGAACCTCGCAGCAGCGGCAAATTTCGTGCAGTCGTCTGAACCTCACTAACTTTTTCAACCTCGCACGCATGCGTCTCAGAGCTTCTACACTACAGAACCGCTGGGGTGAGCGATTTACATCTGTCGTCTCCCAGAACGAAAGGATTTTATATTGAGGCCCCGAATGCGTCAAGTCTAAGTCCTGCAGTCTCTGGCTCCAAGATTGACATCAACAAAAAATCATCGTGAAGAGCTTAGCTTGAAGAATTCCATGCCTAACAGAGCAAAGATGTTTGCCGTGAAATTTGCTGCTGTTGTCCTGCTACGCGCAAAAAAATGGCAGAGGCTCCCGGCTTGCACTTGGAAGCACTCTCTGCGTCAGAACATGCTTAATTGCGAAGGCCAGCAGCAATACTTTCCACGCAGCTCGATAGCCGTATCTGCCACTGGCTCTATGGTATCAATCCGCCTCTGTCCCACCAACTTCCACTGACATCGTCTGGGAATCATCTGTGCCGGCGTCACTCCTCTTGCTCCATAGACATCTTTAGCTGCTGGCTTCGATGGTGTTTCCCTTGAAGAGGTCCACATCGGTGCGGATAATGCTGGTTTCCTCGACGGTGTCAGCATCGATTTAGATTCCAGTTTTCTCCTCGTCGACGTTGATTTTCTCGATTCTGGATGGCGTCGACATCAACCCGGATTTACTTGAGCCACGAGGCGTATGCCTCCTCCTCCTCTTACCACAAATCTGCCGTGACCAAGAAATTCAGTCAGACTTTTCAGTAAACCCAAAAGCTTAAACATAGCAAGCCTTCTCAACCTGGCCTTTGGACAGCATGGAGCATTCAGCGTATGTGATGCAAGGCAGCAAGCCTTGCTTCATTTTGGGTGCAGGTCTTGGTCTTGCTGGAGGACCGCTCTTCCAAGCAGCCGAAGCCTCCGGCTAGACAGCAGCTGCGGCACATAAACTGACACCCCATTCCCGCAGCCTCACGCACGGACATGCCTTCGAAGTACACGCTCAGAAACGGCCCGATGGGCACCTTCAAGCTACCCAATAACCCTGGACCAGGGGAAGCAGTACACGAAGGTCTCTTAAGATTGCCTTGGCAGGACTCATGGTATCATCCTCCGGGTCAAGAAAAAACCCGCTGATTACCTTGCGAGAAAGCAGCTTGGGCAGTGCCTTCGCTCACATATGATATACTCCCAGTTGCCAACTGGTCATTCACCACTTTGACCACAGCATGCACGCGTGGATGAATAGGATCTCCATCCTGCGACAAGGAGGTACAAGCTTAATTACCGTAGCTTGGCTACACGGCTGGCTTAGCTGCTCACAATCGCCTTTCAACTCTGGCTCTCACTGGGCCTTGTCTGTGGAAGGAAGGTTGGCACCTTCGTGCTCATCTCCGAGGTAATAGTGCCCTGCAGGACCCTTGCGAGAAATCCACCTGAATCTCAGCAATGTTCACAAGACACCTGACACTCCTGTCTACTCTGATTTCTTGAACAACAGCATGCGCAACACTTGGACTTGTTTGCAGTCAACTTGCAACCCTTCATAGCGGCTTCCTCGCAACTCCCGGGCCATCAATGAACAAACCAGTGGACCTGCAGGGCCCTGTGGCTTTGTGCAATCGTAGACCTTACACTGATGAAAGTCTCTCGGCCTTCTTCTTCTGGCCGGCCACGCTCTAGTACGCTGGCTAGGTGCGCTGGTGTCATGCTTCTGCAGGCAGAAGCTCCGAGCTCCTGGAGCTGCAAGGCCTCGAGACTCGAGACAGCGCACTGCAGCATTCTACTCAACAGTTGGTTGAATGCGATTTTGCTGGCCATGCAATGGCCCTTTCTGGCCATTTCTGAGCATTAAATCTTCTGATGGCTCGGCACAAAACCGCAGAGCTTCCAACATGCTCCTTGTCGCTCCAGCTGCTACAGTGCACTTAGGGTCTTGCCAGTTGCTTGCAGAGCTTAGCCCGCGCAGCAGGCCCGTGCTGGTTGCTGCCTCTCCTTAATCTGCGAGCGCTAAGTGCTGCAAGCAATTTCGGCGCAGAGGCGGAACCAGAGCTCACATGAGCTGTGCCTACAGCTTCTTGCACCTAGACGGAGAGAAGTCTACAGATGGAAAGTGCTGAGAGCGTCAAACCTCGAGCAAACCATTCCCGCGCGGCATCCCTGGCAGCTTGGAGGCTCATCGTAGCCTGCCGCAGCTGGGACAAAAGTGTGAAGCACGAAACGTCTTTGCAGTTCCTGCGCCATAAAACTCCCCTGTGTGCAAAAGAAACACTAATGACACGAAGGAAGCGATTTGCAGTCAGTCTTTTCCCCTCAGGCTGCGCATGCCATCAGCCAAATAGTCGCGCACCGACCACCTTCTTCAGATTCTTCAGTGTTCTGAAACCCTCCACTTCAAGCACAGGACCCAACTTGATGCGTGCTGCAAACGATTTACACAACGGTCCCGAATGACCTGTGACGAACATGTTCCGCTTGAGGAGACGTCTCTAAAGAGCTCCGCATCCGGCACACTTGCTCTGTGGTCGAAGCATGGGTGATAGGCCGACATCAGGATATCATCAGGAAAGCCGCAGAAGCAAATGCTCCCCTTGCTTGGTCGAAAAAATCTCCGACAAATGGCCGACTGGCAGCGAAAAAGCCACCTCCTCAAAGTGCTTGTTCAGCATTCCTTTTTCAAATGGATCGAGGAGTCCTCCTTTCTTGGCGGATTTGCAATCAGAATGCTGCCCTGCCAGCTCCTGGCAACAATAGCACTAAGCATGCTGCATGTGACCTTACGCAGAAGAAAGGCACAATTTTGAAGGAGTCCTACCTCAAACCTGCTGAGCAATTCAGTGCCCGAAGCCAGCATGAGGGTCTGGCGCAGTTCCTGAAGATGTTGCCTGGCCTCCTGCTGGCTGCAAGTTATGACATCCTGTCGCCAGGACATTGCCTGCAAGGCAAAACCGTTGATATGGTGACTTGGCTCTTGCAAAGTAAGCAACAGAATGGGCAGACTCACAGCCACGCACCTTCTTGCAGTCTCGATGTTTCCTCAGGATTTGCCTAACCGTGGCAATGTTGTCTGAAATGCGAGGTCGTTTGACAAGTCGAGCTTGCGCGACTTCTCCAGAGTCCAGGATGGTTACTCGCTTTGACGTGGTACCATCTTCACTGCCGCACTCCTTCAGGGTCAAAGACTCAAGACCCAGCATAGCTTAAAAACCCCATTCAAGCCATAAGCTACGTCTTGCCACAGCTTATGCTCTCCTTATGCTCACAACACAATAGATCAGACCTTCTGCGAGCTTCTCAAGTCACAACAAAGGTGCGGTGGTACTGCATCACTTGCGCGAACGTCACGGTCCTCCATCATTTTGACGACATCCATTCCCGAGACGACCTTTCCAAACGCAACATTTTTGCCATCAAGCTGAGGTGATGCTTGACAGCAAATGATGAACTGAGAGCCGTTGGAGTCGGGCCCAGAATTTGCCATCGATACCACACCGTCGCCATCGTGTTTCACATCGAAGTTTTCATCTTCAAATGCATGCCCGTAAATTGATTCGCCGCCAGTTCCATCTTGCTGTGTAATATCACCACCAACACAAACGAAGCCAGGGATGATGCAGTGAAACACAGATCCCAGGTATGTGAGCCTCTTGCCACTCACTGGCCCCCGTCCATGTTCCCCGGTGCAGAGACACCTGAAATTCTCCGCTGTTCGAGGTACGGTGTCAGAATATAATTCAATCTCCAAACGCCCAATGGACTGGCCGTCCAGGCATATTTCCATGAAAACCTTGGCCGGCGTTTAGAAGAAGCGCACCAGCAGGAAAGTCACTAAATTTTGACCAGAGGACTCTGGGATTGGCGCTTTCTTTGTCCTGCTTCTTCAAAGTGCCTGCTGCCTGCAAGGCGAAAGCTTCTAATTATTTTGTCTAGTGGACGTAGTCCGGCCCAAGATCTCCAAACACCAGCCTCTGCCGTGCGAGGCGAGGCTGGCTCGACGCCCAGGCGTTCTTCAAGTAATGACAGCTGCTCAACGAAGCCGGCATTTGGATTCACAGAGGGACGCTTTTCCTGCACTCTAGACAAGCGAACTCTCACAAAAGGTCCACATTGACCGCCCAAAACTCGGCTCCTTGATGCATAGCACAGCCTCAGGCAGCAAAGCCAGAAATCACAGAAGCAACAGTTGGCTAGTCTGAATTTCCACGTTTAAGCCGCGCCTTCCCGACAGAGACTTTCTCTTTGTGCATCAACTATGCCGCAACCATTATAACACTTCTTGATCGGCCATCGGCACAATGCACCAGCACCCTTCCCTGGGCTAATCCTTCAGAGATGAAAAGTCGTCCATCATCGAAATGCTGTGCTATGTCTTCTGTGCCAGAGTCAACCGGAATAAACAGCCTCACAAACGGATCCTTCTTGCCAGCATCCTGCAAATACACTCGTCCACCACAGGAGCGCCCATCAAGCTTCCGCTTGCGAACGTGCTTTTCGTCTTCCAAATGCGGAATAGCCAGTCTTGCGGGAAATTCTGCGCCGACTGAGAGCACGTGCGTCACTCCGATTAGAGACAACGATTTTGTATTGGCAGCCGCTTCCACTGAGCCGATGTAGAGCTTCGACCTGATTTCCGTCACGTCGAGGTCCATGGCATGCTTTGTGTGCCTACTCGCTCGGCGGAAAGTATATTGAGCCAAATGCTTGAAACATGAGATGCAAGGCCTTGTCCATAGCACAATCATTCTACATGAGTTCAAGGGTGTTGGATCTCTTGCCTTGCCAGAAGCTCCACACTTCTCCTCGGTTCCACGCACTCGAAGAAGAGCTTCAGCTGAGAAGCACCGCGTCATGAAAACAACTTCCAAAATTTGAGAGAATTAATCACTCGGCTGTTACCGGCGGACTTCTACGCATAAGAACCTTGTCCAGGTTTTGATTCACACTTTGTTGCCAAGCTTCAGCTACTTGCAGTAGCTCTGGATGTTTCTCTTTCAGAAGCGTCTCGACCCTGTGGTCTCCACGCAGTTGAGCCAGCAGAATGACGAGGCGTCTCCATGAGTCTCCTTTGGTGCAGGTCGCAAGTGAATGACGGTGAAGCTCACTTAACATGGCCAAATGCACCACATTCGGATTAGAACACCTCCCACCCCCCAAAATCACATACTCCAGCTAAGCATGTCGTAGCTGCCGGCAGCCGCGAGGCGATTCTTGTCGCTATTAGTTAATCTTCTGCTTAATTTAAACTTAAACGTCTTTCTGCTTGCAGGCTCCAAGCCACGTTCGTCATTGGCCGCTGCAGCAGCCACAGTGGAAGGGTCGACAGGTCTAGCCCCACCGCCATTTCTGACTTCAGCTTGCTGCCGCTCTTAGTTTGGACAAAGCTTGCATCTCCATAACATGGCGAACCTTCCAGCTGCCTCCTTATGATGAAGCTACGATGGCTAAATTCATCATGATGAAAATCCCTACAGGTTCCAATTTCAGATAGTCCAGAGAAGTTGCCTGAGGACTGCGACCGGCCTGAGCTCCGCTCATGACAAGCAATGAACAAAATGTGTTTACATCAAACCCTCGAAACCCTTCACACCCAACAAGTGTTGATACTCAAAATGCTCTTTGCAGCTTGGAAACCCGCCTTCGGCAGTACAGGCTCAGCTCCTGCAATTGGTGCGACAGGAACCGCATTTCCATTTGGCAGGAGCTCCCAGGGAACCTGCCGCTCTTGCTGCAAAGCAGGCAGTTCTGGCACATGCGCAAATTACAAGAAGCCTCCGGCGTTTTCGACCGATCGCGCTTTCGACCCATCGCTTCCCGCTGCACATCGTCGCGGCTTTGGGCCGACAGGACAAGAGTCAGGATTGCACACAAATGCCTTGCCATGTTGCGTGTGCGATGCCATGCTGAACAATACTGACAATCATGCATGGTAGATCTGGGGTTCCCACCTCTGAAATGACTAAATGTGCCCACCTCTCCCAGAGGAGCCTCGGCCGTTGGAAGCAGCCACGCAGTCTCTCATGCTCTTGGAGAGGCACACATGCCTTTTTACAGCTGCCACGAACATTGTCAGCGTCGCGGAAGTCAGAGACGAGCAATTGGCTGCCGGGATTCTCGCTCCTCACGTGCAGCAACGATCTCTGGAAAGAGGACTTGCTCCTGGGCTTCAAGCGTGCTTTCACGTGAAGGCACCCCCCAGAAACACAACAACATGCTAGATCTCCAATCAGGGTCCAAGACTTCACGAAGCTCTGCAGGAGCTTCCAAACTCCAACTTTGAGCGAATTCTGCCTCTAGGTCAGCAATCTCGTCCCTGCTTCGCTTCGGATCCCTCACCTCAATGCTGGGAACACGCAGAAGCCTACCGAACCTGATCGGCCGCATCATAGGGTTTTGTCAAGGCGCATAATTTCTTAGTTCCTTGCTCATCTGCATGGCTTCGTCAAAAGACATGGCCAGCAAATGGTCCACGGCAGCGGATATATCGATGCTGGCAAATGGATCCTCCTCCTCATCCAACTCTGTCCTCAAGTCACCTCAACTTGGTCAACAAGAATGCTTGCCTCCTTTCAAGTATCACTACTTGAGAGAATTCCAACGTGAACTTGCCTGCGGGTGCATGCCCGCTTGAGTGACGGTGTTCATGAGAATCCTGCCGGCACCAGAGGTCATCGCACACGTCTGATTTTCTCCAGTCAACTTCCTGCTCAGACAGGAGCGGGCTGCGATTGCGCAGGAATGCTTCAGTCTCCGCCAGGTTGGCTGCAGCAGCCTATTTGCGGGGAGACGTCTTGTTACCCACAGTCTTTGTGCGAGCGGTACCTCGGGGTCCAGAATTTCTTCGAGTAGTTGTCGAAGCTCCTGGGGCGCCTCTTCAGCTTGGCCGGTCAATGCCCGCTTAGAGCCTGAAAGCCTGTCATGTCCTGCCATGTCCTGCCATGTCCTGTCATGTTTGATGTCTCTTCGATGCCTCTGAATGCCAGTGCTCACGAAACTCTTCCTTCAGCGCCTTGCAATCCTCAGCTAGGCACATCAAACATGAAGGCCACGGAGGCTCACACAAGTGGAGGTTAAGTGGCTTTGCCGGCCTATGGCGTATGGCTACGAGCACACGTTCCTTGCCACTGTTTTGAACGATCTCCCGGCAACTCTACCCAACACCTTAAGCTACAAGTGAACAAATGCTGCGGCCTGGGGCCAGGCCCCACCAGAGCTTGGCGAGGGCCTGGTGTCTGGGTTGGGGAGAAGCTCCGGGGAAGGAGAAGAGGCAAGCACATGTCGTGGCTGATTTGAGCACGAAGCAAATGAATAGTGGGTCGAGCGTGCACGTATGCCTTGCCGAGGCGTTCTCGCGTTTGCGTTTAAAATTATGCTGCTACGGCAACGGCTGCTGTTCCAAAACTGAAAAAAGCGGAAATACTCTAAATAGAGGTAGACACGTGCCTTATGCAAAAGGCCTCGCAGCCGCACAGTTCCGTGCCTGAAAAGACCAACCATCTGCGGCAACTTCAGCCAGGATAGAGAATTGCACCAAAGGCCAACTCAATATGCAGCTGGCGACCTATCAAGTTGGGCATCCCACCTCACCCGCGTCCGCCCATCTGAACGACTTGTGCCAAGATTCAACCAAGACTCTTCCGCACCGTGGTTTTCAATGTATGCAGCAAGCGCTGGCAAGTCTCTCAAGGCCTACCGATCTGAGTTGTTTAAACCCCATGCCATCCACAGAGACAGGCCTGGTCAAAGGGCATTTTCAGGAGGGCCTCTACTGTGGCTGTCACGCCATCCCCCTCCGAGCAGCTCACGGAACGAAACAGCAATCACCTGCTTGACTCTGAACCTGGTCGCTGCGTGCGCCAGAGTCCACTGGCATGTGGGCATTCGGGCGCGGAGAACTTAAAAAACAACCCAGCTACTACATTCTGTCCTTACTGTTCGGTGATAGGTGTGCATAATGTGATCCGGAAGGGCTCGAAGTGCATATGACCCCGTACCACAATATCAGCGCCATGTAGCTGTGAATGATCAAGCCGCGGAAGCATTGCTTCAAGTCAATAATGCACTGAGACGAGCCATTCCAGCCCTGCATGCCGCAACATCAGGTCCCAAACCGTTGGTGGGCAAGCTGCTCGGCAACTGGCTTTTCGACAGTGCACTTCCTGTGGCGTCAGCGATTGCAACAAGTCATAGCTCTACATTCAAATGTCTGCATAGCTCGTGGCAGAAGGTCTTCGAGGAAGATTGGGACCTGGCTGGATGTGGGCATCTTGCTGCCATTTGCAGACAAAAATGACGATGATCACGAGAATTGCTGAAAGCTCTGCACGCGCGATGAAAGACCACAGAATTGGACAGCTTCAGCCTTCAGCATGCAACGAGCCTTTTAGCAGCGTCCTCTGCATCGGGCTGTCCAGTCGACAACACGGGGTCTTGATGCACCCGAGTCCTGAAAACAGACCTCTCGTGCAAAGGCAGAGCTAGTCAAGCTGGCACTGATTGGCACAGCCATCACACGTATTGGCCCGAGAAGCCATGGCCCAATTGGCAAGCACAGCATCTCTGGCTGATATCCTGGCGCAGAAGGTATTGGAGAGGGGTAGAGGCACTGGCAGCTCATGAAGTTGATACAGACTGCATGAATGCTGTTCCACTTTCTGACTTCCGCTAGCACGCGGCAAAACGCAATGCTGCTGGCCTTGTGTGCTGTCCTATTGCTCTGGAAGAGTCCCAACCTCGGCCCTTGAACAGGTTCCGCCTCTTTTTCAACAGGTTGCTATAGCTAATGTCCTTCAGACTCTAGCTGGAAAAACCATCCAGGCTCCTGCTACTTGAGCATTCTGAACACGCAAAAACAGAAAAATCAAAGGCACATCAAACCTTATCGATTTTTGCATGAAGCACTTCAAAGCTTCCATAGTGTTCAGCTGAGTTTTGCCGTTCGGATTCTGCGAGGGTTGCAAGCCCACGTTTGAACAGAGCAGTCAGATTAAACGAAAGAACACAGGTAATTCTGGTTGAGCGTGCATGCCTTCACAACTCAATGGACGACTCCAGTTAGCAGCCGAAAATATGGGTTGTGGGTGGATTGCACTTGTTGCAAGCCTCTGTTGCGGAACTGCTGTTTCAAGTTGTATCTGGGCCTCATGTTGCCTTTGGCTTTTACATCATGGACGTGAACGAAGGATTGTCGCAGAGGGGTTCAATGAAAACAGTGTAGGATTGTAGCAGGGGGACTTCCAAGCTCTGTTACAAGCTGAATTTTGGGTGCCGTTCTGCGATGAGAGGACTTTGCCGATGGGTCGGGCAACACCGTTTAATGCTTGCTCCAGCAATGTAGCCATAGCGTGCGAACGTCGCCTCGCCCGCAGAACCCTAGCCCAAAGGCAGCCTCACTCTTGCCGAGGCTTCCTTTGAATTTGGTCGCGCAGACCT